ATTTGTTTTGAGGAGCGCGCACGACCCCATTGCCGCGATGCGCGTTTCCGTCAGTGAGGACGGATGTGTCTCCGTTCAATGCGAGAGAGATGTGTTCACAGAGTTCGGCATCACCGAACACATCCCATCCATCGAGCAGGCAGGCGCGGTGGTACTCCGCCGTCCCTTTGCACGCTGATGCGGACTGCTGTGCAGGTCAGGTGCCCTCCCCCTCTTGTGTCTGCTCCCTCTTCCTTCCCTTTTCCCCCTTCTCCCTGTGCACCTGGAACACAGCGGCGCTCTTCGCCTCGGTCAAGAATGATTCACGGAAAGCTTCTACACGATATGCTAAACTCATTGCACTTTGTCAGTCACATGATACAGTCACAGTACAAGAACCACACGGGCATGAAAGGGATATTGTTCTTCTCCAGCATCAACTGCCTGGACATGCGTTCGGGCATTCCTTCTTCGCGGACTCCGTGAGAGAAGGGGGAATGGTAACTGCTGTCTCTGCCAATGTTGCTTCTCGCTTGTCCTCTATCACACATACTACCTTGGTCACGGGGCGTGTTCAGAAAAATATGTTTGTGGGCTCCTCGGGCGACGTGATTGTCTACAATCTCCACATGCCCAACACATCCGATCCGATTGCTCTCTTCTCTGGGGTTTTGAAGGCGGCGCAGCAGGATTTTATTCGCCATTGTAATGGCGGCAGTGAATTCGAGGCTCACGCGATCTTTGTGGGAGATTCGAATTTTATCTTGGAAGATGAGGGAAGGTTTGTTGGGGACGGGAGCGGATTTACAGCAGGCGATGTTGCACAATCGCGCGCTTTTGGTCGCTATTTTCCGCAGTTCACTGAGATATACCAGAGCTTGGACACCCGCAGGGGAAGGAAAGGGAAGGTGGTGGACAAGACCTCTCGGATCGACCGCATCTACTCCTCGTTCCCTCCTGCTCTCCTTCGCGATCTCACGATCACGACGTCGACGATTGGACAATTACATGCCTCGATGCCGAGTGACCACATTCCCGTGAAAGCGGTCTTCGAGTCGTTCCGTCCCGACCCTGGCGCCCCCTGCCTCCCGCCGTGGGTTGCGAAGCTGCCAGAGTTTGAACGGGCATTCGAATGACTCCTTTCCGAGGTCCCTGCCGAATGGGATGTATGGGCGACGCTTTCTGCTACTAAACAGTTCTGCTTCGAGGCTGGGAAGGCCGCGCGTAGTGCTACTCGCGGCCGGGAGGCTCGCACCAAGCATGAACGCCACTACTGGGCATTACATGCGTTGCGTGCTGTGATGAAGGGGGAAGTCTCTCGGATACGTCTCGCGGTGCAATGTACCCCGCTGCCGCTGCCGCGACCTTGAGCCATGGAGTCCCTGTGGCGCGGGCGCTGCCAGACCCAGGCCCAGCCCACGTGAAGCCAGGTAGGACGCCGACCGCGAGAACCAGGTGCATCGCTGACCGTGGCCCACGCGGACGGGCCCCCCTGGAGCGGCGGCGTATGGGTGGCTCACAGCGGCTCGTACTGGTGGAGGAAGCGGCGGAGGAGGGTGGCGTCGTGCTGGCTGGGGCCGCCGGTGCCACCTCCACTCCAACGCACACACACACGCACTCTACCAAACTTAACCGTCCAGACTGAGGAGCGTTTGTGCAGACAGGCCGGTACGAACGTATGCACATCTCGCCCCACGTAGAGATCGGCGGCAAGGTGCTCGAGTATCACACGTACGACGCAGCTAGGATACGAGGTCAAATCATTTGGCCACTGCGAGGCGTGTAAGCGGCCAAACATACTGCATGCGAAATGCTCCCAATGAAACAGATGTGTAATACGTGGTTTACCCGGAAAAAAGGAACCATCGATACCGTAGTCCTCATAGGCTGACCTGCAGTTCAGATGATGGCGATACGAGAGCGAAACTGTTGGATGAGGTCGGGCGAAAATCATACTTACTTTTGGGTAAGCTGATGGGACACCAAGGACTCATACTATGTCGGTGATCTTAAGCATGGAACAGACCACGCATACGCCCCACAGCATGCTGGTTGGGCTGCTGCCAGCACAGGATCGTCGCAACCTAGAGCTGCTGCCCCAATGAACAATCAGCAAGAACGTCTTTCCATAACAAGACAACCGACTGTATGCTGCATGAGTTTGCCAAGCAATCCATCATGACAACACGTATCTCTAGTCCCGTACAAATCTACCCCCTATGTACCGCAACACATGCTGTGTGCCACGTGGTCACGGTATCCTTGTACCCGAGGCAGCACATACCACACACAACAAAGACGCATCTCTCCGTGGACGGAGAAGTATGCCATCACACATAGTCAATGGACGCATTGTGTGTTTTTGCGTGTTAGGGGAGACGCAGTCGGTGTGCCCATGCCAGACCCATGGTCGTGAACCGCCCCCCAGCCGACATGCCAGTGCGCCAAGCGGAAACTCGCAGGAGCAGAGACCCCTTGGTAGATCAGGCGGCGGGCTGGCTTGAGCCAGATGGCGCCTTTCCGACGGAATTAAATTTGCGCCAGGGTCTAGCAATCAGGGAAGGACGCCCTTGTTTGGGAGGGGGAGCGCGCCAATGACAATCAAAGACAGGGCCTATAAGGCCAGCGCGGACGGGCCGGATACCCCAGTGGTTATTGTGGTCGAAGTCTGGTGAAGTTATGGAGGGGAGGACGCACAGGAGAGTGTTCGTGATCGAGCGTCGGTGTCTGAGAGCTTTGGTCGCCCTCTTCCCCCAGTGTGCATGCCATATTATGCACCGCAAGCAGTTGTCGAATGCCCTGAAGGTGAGGTCCCCGTGTGGGAGATGCGGAAACACAGAGATGCACTTGTGTAAACACGTTCGCACGCGCACATGCGCATTCACGTTCATAGCGCACATCTTTCTCATCAATATATGTTTACAGCATATATATATATTAGAATATCTTGCCACGATACTAGTAAGTATATGTATGTGTGTACGCACGTATGTAGGTATGAATGTATGGATGTATGGATGTCTGGATGTATGAATGTATGGACGGATGTACGGGCGTATGTATGCATGTATGTATGTATGTATGTATGTATGTATGTATGCATGTGCGTATGTACGTATGCACGTACGTACATGCATGCATGCAGGTAGGTATGTGCGGATGTACGTATGTATGCATGACTGTATGCACGAACGCATGCATGCATATAGGTAGGTCTGAATGCAAATCTCCCTCTATATAATGTGTGTAGCGAACGAAAGAGAGAGAGAGAGAGAGAGAGAAAGAGAGAGAGAGAGAGAGCAAGAAAGCAAGAGAGAGACAGAGAGAAATAATACAAAGACGCGATCGAGACAGGGGGAGAAAACCGGTGGTGCCGCCTATAATGCGCTCCTCGGAGATAGTAGTGGCCACCTTAGTCCGCCCCCTCGCATTGACGCCGATGTGCAATTTTGTACCCAGCAAGCTTGCTTGTTCGTCTTTTGTGGCAGCGGGAGGAAAGGGTCCCACCGTCTGGAGCTTTACGTCCCAAGCGAACGGGCACATGCGTCTCAGTCTCTGCTGGAGACAAGGTCGCTGGGGCAAGAGGTGCGTTGCTAGCAGGAGCAGCGCACAGCTAGACACAGTGCTGTGAGACTATTGCAACACATATTGTAGCCCTACCAGACAAAGAACATCAGCATTTGCACACGATTGGACACAAGGGTGCGGCTGCGGCGTGCTACCGGCGCGTGTAAGCGAATCGCCACGCATCACTTGGGGAGAGCAAAATCTGCATCAATGACACGCCTCAGCCGGGAACCCGTCAACGTCTCCCTGTTGGAAGAGCGCGCTGCTTTCGGAGCAGCACGCCGACAAGCTCCCGACGGCGGCGTGCCATTGATACTCTCTTTCAGAGGCCTCCTACATGGGGGTCCGAGTAGATGGGGTCGGAGGTTGTCGCCGCATCGCCGATAAATCGTTCAAGCGATGCGGCGCGATTCCCGACCCAGTTTGGGAGGCCTGGATCTTCCCCCCAATCACTAACATCACGAAGGGCCGCCAAGCTTGTGCGCTCGCGCTCCCCCCCTTCCCCCCGAGACGCTCACTCTAAGCCGAAGCCATGCGCCCGGCGACCGCGCGTGGGCAAATGGATTCCTTAAGAATGATAACAGTTCGAACGGGCATCTTGGCCACTCGAAATTTCTAAATAACGAATGCGCGGAACATGTGTGGGAGGACAAATCTGACCAGGCGCTCTTGGCTTACATCGCGGGAGCCGCAGACCCTTCGTAGTTCCCCGAATCTCAGCAAACATCCCCGACGCCTCGAAACCCGAAAAATACATAACAAACAGATCTGGCCGCGAGAAAATCTCCAAACGGATCCCCAATGACATCTCTAGGGGAATCTTGGCTCCTGGAGATGTTCCGGGAAATCTTACAGGAATCTTTGCCTCCCCAATGGGATCTCCCAAGAAAACTAGCTGTCTGGAAATCTTCCCGAACTCTCGCCGGCCAGAAACCTTGCCTCCAGGGAAATCCTGCCGGCCACAAATCTTCCATGACAGATAAAGCATCGATCCCCCATCTTCGAAGTCTGGAGATAACACATAAATCTCAACACCAATATTACAAACATCTACCATCTGTCATACGGGAAATCTAGCCTCTTGGGTATTCCCTGGTGAATCTGGGAAATCTTGCCGCCTGGAAACCTCCAGGGGGATTTCCTTGTCAAACTTGCCCACCGGAAATCTAACAGAAAATCCATGACGGAAAACTTATGTCGAAGGTTCTGACCGATATCTTGCAGGCCTCAGACCTGATGTCTGAGTTCCCAATGCAGATTTTCGCCAGGCTTCTGAGGACGACGAGAAACCACGCGGGTGGTCTGCGCTCCCACGAGCCTACTCTGGGCGCGCCTTGGTGGGCACGCGCCCCTGGAGAAAACGAGCCCTGGCGCGAAGCGGCGCCTGCGCGCCGGCCTGGGACACCTGCCCCGACCCCAGGCTCCTGGCCTGGGGAAGGCGTGTGCCCTGGCGCTCATGGCTGCGCCGCCTCCCAGTCCCAAGACGAGCTGCGGCATGGCCCCCGCGGCTCCCCGGCACCAGCCGCCCACGCCACCGGGGAGGAGACCCTCCGCACCACGACGGGCGAGCACTTCGCCTCGGCCACCCGGCGCCGGCTGCGCCTGCGCTCCAGCGCGAGCCGCGCGCAGACCATGCAGCAGACGGCCGCCGCGGCCAGCCCCACCGTGAGCAGCGCCAGCAGTCTCCAGTCGAGCGACGTGGTGGCGGAGGCGAGCTCGTGTGGTGGCGCCTCCACGGGTGCGGCCCCGTCCGCGCGCCACGAGACATTGTATGCCACGGCCCCGCCGCGCTTCCTGCACCACACGGAGGCGTAGAGGAACTCGCCAGTGGAGCCCTGGACTTGCACCGCGATCTGGTGGCCCCCCGCGCTGGCGGTACTGGTGGCCGTGAAGTTGGCCCCGCCGTCTGCCCAAGTGCCCTCGCCGTCCCAGGCGGCCCCAAGCGAGCCAGCATCGGCGTCCCACAGACGGGGCCCTGCGCGCGCGGACACGAAGATCGCGAGGTCCCCGCCTGCAGAGCCGTCGTGCTCCAACACGATGTCCGCGCCGTCCCCGCCGGGGATGCGCAGGAAGTCCCACTGGAACGGCTGCAGTATCCTGGCAGCTTGGGCCAGTCCGACGAACTGCTGGCTGCAGTGGGGCCCAGCCCAATCCTCCTCACACTGGCACCTCCAAGTGCCCTCTGCCTGCTCCGCGACGCCGTGCCCGCAAGGCGGCGCTGCTGCAGCGGCCAGACAGCCAGGGTCCACAGATGCGTGCCCTGCGACCACCAGCGACAACGTCTGGGACGAGGGGGCCTCTGACGTGCTGCCTGAGTAATGTGCTGCCACGATGCACGAAGCGGACGCAGGCAGCGGTGCGAGCACAACTTTTTCGAGGTTGTTGTTGTGGTCGCCACCAGACTCACCGTTCCCTTGGTGGGGCGCCCACGCGTCCACGTCGCAAGCCACTGTGAGGTCTAGGTCGTTCACAAGCGAGCCGCTCGCCGCAGGTTTGTCTGTCCACGCCAGCACCGCCCGCAGCGGAGCTGGGCCCTGCGCGACAGAGAGGCAGAAAGCCAAGCGTTGGCCCATGCCCAAGCTGGCCTGCACGGTGATGTGGCTTACGGGATAATCCGCAGCTGGTGGGCTCAGCGGCGCCAGCAACTCCGCCAAGTCTGGCAACCCGAAGCCAACGTCGTGGCGCAGCGCTATGTCCGACTCACCACCGTCAACGGAAGCAACGGCGGCGAGCAGTGCCTTCAGCGTGGACGCCCACGGGTGCAGCTGGCGAGCAATCGTTGGCTCTGCGCGCGTCTGCAAGTATTCGCGGGCCAACGCCACAACCCCCGCAGCCATGCCGCAAGCCTGCGAGGTGCCACTGGCGACACGCACGCCGCACTCCTCTCCCGCCGCTGCCGCTTCGATGCTGTCGCCTGGCAGAATGACCTCTGGCTTCACGCGCCCGTCTGGCAGCGGTCCATAGCTGCTGTAGGGGGCTCGGCGTGAAGACGATACGAGGGCCGAGATAATCGGGAATGTGACCACGGCGTCCTCGGACAGCAGCTCGGCAGCATCGGCGTGCGACATCATGACTACAGGGATGGGGATGTCGGACGCCCACGCGTCGTCCATCATGTTCTCCAGGGAATGCAGATCGGTCGACGCTGCGTAGTTCACCACGATGACCCCGACGGCGCCCGCCTGCTGGCAATGGTCGGCCTTGGTGACGAACGTGCAGTCGCCCCGCCGCACGACGCACACCGAGCCCGTGGCGAAACCCACCAGCGGCTCACAGGCCGAGCTCGGCGAGGCCGCCACGGGCGCCACCTCCACCACCGAGGCGAGCGCGGTGGGCGCGAAGGCGCACTCCGGGCACGCCGCGCCCGAGACGAGGCAGCTCAGGCGCCTACTGGCCTCACAGTCCCCGGGCGTCGACGGGGCGGTGGGGCCGAACATGGCGGTGAGGACGGCCGCCTCCCTGGAGGAGCAGGAGGCGTTGCCTGCAGCCCGGGCTCCGCCGCTGAGAGGGAGGCCCGCCTCGCTGGGGCAGGCGGCGCCAAAACTGCGCAGGGCGGTACTCACGAAGGAGGGAGCCGCGAGGTACGCCTCCGCGGGCCCGTACGCCGCGCCGACGCACAGTGAGTTCTTCGCTCGGCAGGGCGCGTGTGGCCCGGAACTTGGGTCGGCCGAGTTGCCGGAGGGGAAGATCGCCAGGAACTCCGGGTGGCTGTGTGCGTACTGGTCCACGCGCAGGCTGATATCGCCCCCGTCCTCCTCGAAGCCCCAAGGGGAGCAGACCACCTGCGCGCCGGCCTTCTCGAAGAGGTCGAAATAGGACGAGCCGAAGTCGAGGCCTGAGGGCACGTTGTACGCACCGCCGCCAGAAGCCCCCACCAAGTCCACCACGGCCAGCTGTGCGGCGGGGGCCACGCCTTCAGCTCCCTGAGCGTTCGACACGGCGATGCCAGCCACGTGCGTGCCGTGCCCGTCGGCGCTGTCTTGCATGTCGCCTGGAGAAACCGAAGTCTACTACCTGGACCCCTCCTGGGGCGCGGTCCGACTAGAATTCCGAAGCGAATCCAGCCTTGGCGACGAGGGCCTCCAAGGAGGCCTCAAAAGAGGCCGAAACGATGGAAGGGCAGCGGTATGGCCACCTTTCCCTCCCCCGATCGCCCAGCCCCGTGAAATAAGCCACGACTTTGGCGCGGCCGTGGTCAACCGTGTCGAATGGCACCGCCGTTGCGCTCGGCTCGGCGAAGGCGCACGCGTCGAGGTTGACGCCCGTGTCTCCGATGCCCACCACCTGCCCTGCGCCGCGGAGCCCCAGGTCGTGTGCGCTCAGCAGGCCTGAGTGCGATTCGCCTCCTCCGCCCCCTTCCCGACCCCTCTGTAAAGGGGAGGGGCGAGGAGGGGGAGGGGCGAGGAGGGGGAGGGGAGGCAAAGAGGAAGGAGAGAGGACGGAGAAGGAGGAGGGCCAGAGCAAACCCAACACGCATAAACCGATGCTGCAGTACATCCCCCCGTCCCAAGACCCCTCCTCATAAGTCCGTACACTTTTTTCCACCGCGGGCGGCCCCCTCCTCGAATGACGAACGCCCGGTAGGTCCGCCAGCCAGACGGAGGCGCCTTTTGTAAACGAGCCCCCCCCCACTTGACGGACACCCAAAGTCGCCCCATCATGAGAAGCACGTGCCCCCCATCCGTCCGTATTGCAAGATGTTTCAAGTCGTGGACGCATGCTCCGCGGAGGTCCCATGCGAGAGCCGTTCGAGGAGGTCCAACATTTTGAGAAGAACGTACTCTTCGTCCGTCTCAACCTTGCAATATGTAAGATCGTGGACGCATGCTTCGCGGAAGTCTCACGCAAAAGGTCTGCTTCGAAAGCAGAATCTCCATCCGTGGATGCTGTTGCACAATATGGAACGCCTGGTCGGAGAGGTCGTAGAAGGATCACGTGCGCGTATATGTAGGGCTTCGTATTCGAATGCCTGCGAAGACGAGGGGGGCCCCGATACGGTGGTGGCGTTCTTTAAGAAATGGGCCCAGGAAGCTACAAATCCTGGGGGGCTTCTCTGATGAGGGCGGTGGACGATTGGAGTTCCACTGGCTTCCAAACCATGGGTTCCTTATTTAAGGATTCCCTGTCCAATGCCCCCACCGTCTTGTAAAAAAAGACTCGCCACCTACTCGCGCAGCTGAAGGCAACTTGGAAGCCGAGTGTGCACGGCGCCGGGGCGAGAGCCCCTTTTTGAAAACGACCCGCCCTCTACCTGTTTCTTGTTGTGTAAAACGATGTTGTCAATCGCCAGCAAAGCGAGAGCCCCATTGTGGAACCCGCTTATAACCGTTTTGTGGTCCACACGCCAACGCGATTTGAATTCATCTGCTCATGAGGCTTCCTGGGGCGACGGGGACGATGAATCTGAGGATGTGGATGCTGCTGCTGCGTGTGGCGCCGGCGAGCCTGTGAGCGCTTGGGGAGGGATTGTGGCGTCTGGGAGCGCGTGGGAACGTCTTGGAGCATCTGTGAACGCATAGGGTGGCTTGGGGAACGCGTGGGTCCCAAATCGGAATCTGCGACGGGTGCCCGAACAGTACCGGTTTATTATGTATTTGCTATCGATGTAATGTGTTTTGTATCCCTGTTGTGCCCAGGGGCTCTTCGGGGCCAGGGGGTGGTCGAAGTTGAAGATCAGCACATGCACACCGACTGCAATGTTTTACGTCGCATGGTGAAGGTTGGGTCGGATGGATGTGCAACGGATTGCATTTTTGTTGCATAGGGTTGGGTAAGATGGATGTGCGCCGAATGATTATTTTCTAGCAGATGATGAAGGATGGGTCGTATCGGTGCGCGCCGAATCATTTATTTGACATTGCATGGTGAGGGTTGGGTCGGATGAAATGTACACCAAATCCGCCACCGTGCTTCTGTCACGAAGTGGAATGCCCCCAGGCTCACAGCTGTGCTGCTGCTGAAGCCAGAATTGTAATTGCTTGAGGGCCCGGGCTAACAATTTCCCGGGCGCTCTCGGGCCCGTCCAGAACGCTCCACGTGAGTTCTGGGGTGCTTCGCGCGGGCCTGCGGGACGGTGACCCGCGCCGAACATGGCCGAAACAAGCCGCATAATTGTCAGAAACGCCCAAGGAGGTTCAAGATTGCCCCGAGACGGCCTCAGACGGCATCTAGATGGCCCCAAACGCCTCCAAAAAAACGCGCCAAGAGGCCTCCAGAAGGCTTCCCGAGAGGGCCCGCCAAAGCAAACATCATGTATTTGTGTCTGCAATTTTGAAAAGTTTTGGCGATATCGCCTTTTCGGCATCCCGATGCTCCAGGACGGCGTCGGAGGCCCCCAAGATAGCCCCAAGACGGCCCAAGAGGCCTCCAAGAGGGCCCCGAGACCGTCCCAGAGGGCCCGAAAACGGCCCGAGAGGCCTCCAAGATGGCCCAAGAGGCTCCAAAAACGGTTCCAAGAGGGGCCCTAGACTGGGACCCGAACGGACATTTCGAGCCCTCGGCCTCGAGAGGTTACCAGGAAGTCCTAGGATGCCCCAGAGAAGCCCCCAGGAAGCCCCGAAAGGCTCCACAGAAGCCCTCAAGAGGCCCCCAAACTGCCCTCAAGAGGCCTGCGAGAGCGCTCCAAAGAGACCCCAAGAAGCATCCTTGAGGACTCTGACTCACAATCCAGGCACGGTGGCCGGATGGGCCGAATGCCATTCGATCCGCCGCCCCCTGTCGCTTTAGCAAAGGGGTGCCCGGCGTGCTGGATCCTATCGGTTTTGGTTTTGGTTCTTCTTCCAAAAGGACACCCCCTGGGGCTTCGGCCCGTCCCGCCGGCGACCCGGGAGATCCCCAATTCTCGACATGTTTCGCTCCAGATGGCCCACGATGGTCTCCAAGATGGCCACGTTGACCCAAGATGGCCTCCAAGATGGTCCAATATGGCCTCCAAGTCCGCCCACGATGGTCCAAGACGACCTCCCATACGGTCCAAGAGAGTCCAAAATACCTCCACGTTCGCCCAAGAGGCCTCCAAGACGGCCAAGAACAACCCAAGAGGCCTCCAAGAGGTCCTCAAGGAGGGCCCGAAGAGGCCAACATTATTGATTTCCCCGAGGGTTTTGAAGGATTTTGAGATTCGCTTCTTCTTGGCATTCCGACGGCTCAAGACGGCCCAAGAGGCCCCCAAGATCGCCCCAAGATCGCCCACGAGGCCTCCAAGATGGCCCCATGACGGCCCAAGAGGCCCCCTAGAAGGCCCCCAGAGGGCCCCAAGACGGGCCAAGAGGCCTCCAAGACGCCCATGATGGCCTCTAAGACGGCCCCGAAGCACCCCACGAAGGCCCCACATCGGCCCAGAGAGGCCCCAAAGACGGCTTCCGACGGCGTCAGACGGGCCAGGAGCCCACCAAGATGACCGAAGTTGGCTCTATGCTAGCCCAAGACGACCCAAGAGGCCTCCAAGAGGCCTCCAAGAGGCCTCCAAGAGGCCTCCAAGAGGGCCCCCAGGAGGGCCAGAAAAAATGCTCAAAACACTGATTCCCCATCGATGTTTGACAGATTTTGATATTTGCTTCGTTTCGGCCTTCCGACGGCTCGATAAGGCCCAAGAGCCCCCAAAGATCGCCCAAAGATCGCCCAAGATGCCTCCAAGATGGCCCCAGAACGGCCCAAGAGGCCCCCAAGACGGCCCCAAGAGGCCCCCTAAGACGGGCCAGGCTTTTAAGATGCCCAAGATGGCCTCCAAGACGGCCTTGGAGCATTCCAAGAGGCTCAGATAGGCCCCCCAAACGGCCTCCGACGGCGTCGGACGGGCCAGGGGCCCACCAAGACGGCCGAAGATGGCACGAAGATGGCCCCAGACGGCCCAAGAGGCCTCCAAGAGGGCCTCCAGGAAGGCCCGAAAAGGCCCAAATCATTGATTTCCCATGAGTGTTTGAAGGATTGTGGCATTTGCTTTTTTGTTCGGCCTTCCGACGGCCCGAGAAGGCCCAAGTGCCCCCAAAGATCGCCCAAGCGGCGAAAGACCGCCCTAAGAGGCCCCCAAGGCGGCCCAAGAGGCCTCCAAGACGCTCAAGACGGCCTCCAAGACGGCCCAGGAGCCCTCCAAGACGTCCTCCAATAATGACCGAAAAGGTCAAAATGGCCTCCAGGCGGCCAAGATGACCTTCAAGATGCCCACGTGTTCCCCGAAGGCTTTCCAAACCCATTCGGGGAACACATGGTCCGATAGCTTGGCAGGTCTGGCCTCAACGTTCGGCCACAGAGGCGCTTCCAAAAAGGCAGGGGGCAGCAGATTCGCAGTAGGCGTCTTCGATCCGCCGCCCCCTGTTGATTTGTCACAGGGGTGCCTGGCGTGTTAGACTTATTACGTTTTGGTTTTGCTTCTTTTCCAAAAGGACACCCCCTGGGGCTTCGGCCTGTCCCGCCAGCCACCCGAAAAAAAAGGCCCCCCAAACGAGCACAACGTCCACAAACAAAAACCTCCAAGACGGCTCAAGGTGGCTTCTAAGATGGCCACATTGGCCCAAGATGGCCTCCAAGATGGTCCAAATTGCCTCTAAGTTCGCAGAACAAAAACACCAAGACGGCCCAATATGACTCCAAGATGCCTCCGAGTCCGCCTAAGAAGCATCCGATACGGCCTAAGGCGGCCCAAGAGGCCCCCCAAGACGTCCCGAACACGTCCTCCAGGAGGGCCCGTAGAAGCCAAACTCATGGTTTTCCTTGGGTAGCCGCAAGATTTTGGCATGCGCTACTTTTCGGCCTTCACCCGGCCCACGACGCCCCCCCAAGATCGCCCCAACGGCATCCAAGATGACCTCATGACGGCCCAAGAAGCCTCCAAGACGGCCCTAAGAGGCCCTCAGGTTCGCCCAAGATGGTCCAAGATCGCCTCCAAGACGGCCCAAAAGGGTCCAGGATGGCCAACAAGACGGCCCAAGATGCTTCCAGGTCTGCCCAACAAGCCTCCAAGACGGAGAGGTCCCCAAGATGGCCCGAAGAGGCCAACCGCATTGTGTGTTCCTTGGCATTTCCTTTCTTTCTGCCTTCTGACGGCCCATGACGGCCCACGAGGCTCCCCAAATCGCCCCAAGATGGCTCCAACGGCTTCCACGATGACCTCATGGCAGCCCAAGAAGCCTCCAAGACGTACCCAAAAGGGCCTCCAAGTTCGTCCAAGATGGTCCAAGATGGCCTCCAAAACTGCCCAAGAGGGTCCAACATTGCCAAAAAGACTACCCAAGGGGGCCAAGATGCCTTCAAGCCCGCCCAACAAGCCTCCACGACGGCACAAGAGTCCCCCAAGAGGCCTCCTAAACGGCGCAAGAAGCCTCCAAGAGGT